ATAAGATGTCATCAACCGCCGTGCCTTTCTCCTCCTCCGCTTGTTTTCCGTCTCAGAGTTGAAGTATTTATCGAGTAAGTGCATCAGAAGCGTTCCCATTGGCTTGGAGGGGAAGGATGGCCATGAAGAAAGTGGAGAAGATCCGGCAGGTCGTGCAACTGAAGCAGGTGATGCGGCGGTGGAGGGCCCTCAGCCTCCGGCGCCGCGGCGAAGAGGACGGCTCGGGGGGGGCGGTGCGGCCGGGGTCCGTGGCGGTGTACGTCGGGCAGGAGCGCCGGCGGTTCGTGATCCCGACCCGGTTCCTGAACCTGCCGGTGTTCGCCGCCCTGCTGCAGCGGGCGGAGGAGGAGTACGGGTTCCCCCCCGCCGGCGGCCTGGCCCTCCCCTGCGACCCCGCCTTCTTCCGCTACGTCCTCGACGCGCTACACCGGGACGAGCCCCGGTTCGGCGCCCTCGGCCTCGACGCCTTCCTCGCCCTCTTCGCCGACCTCGGCGGCGCCACCTCTCCCTGCCGCGAACCCCTCTCTTACAACGGCTTCTCCCCTCTCCTCCCCAAGACCAAGGCTCGATGATCCTCTCTTCTCCTTCTAAATTGTACAGATGAAACGGCAGTCGATCAGAAGAAGGTGGAGTTCTCCAAGAGCTTCATCCATGGATCCTCAGAAGCGATGTTAGCTTTCTTCTTCCTCATCTCCTCCTCTCCAAAAGAACCCTGAATCCAACCAACTCCTTTCCTTTTTAGTCTTGATCATGGGGTTGTAAGGTTCTTTTGGATTCATAATCTGGAATCAATGGAAGTTGAAGCTGCATGTTTTCTCTGCATCTCAAATCTTGTGTCTCGTTGTGTTCTTTGTGCATGGCAACTCAGAAAGAGATAGGATGCATGAACATGACCCCTCCTCCTCTGCAATGATGTCAACTTCTTCCTCGTTGCATGGACCTTTGAAAGTCTGCTACAACTTGCAAGATGTGGTAGATGAACATGAACATGGTGTGGACTTGCCCGATCTCATTTTTTTTGGCTCCCACAATGAGAAGAAAAGAAGTTGTGATGTGTACCAATCAGTACAGGAATCATCAGCATCTTCTTAGGACCTGTGTTACATGTCAGGGAAAGAGGATAAGATCATCAGCCTGATCTATTTGAACTTAGGATTGAGAAGAAGGCCTGCCATCTTTTGTTGGCTCTTCAAAGCTTGTGAGGGTGGAGAGAGAAAATAAAATGGAGTGCTTCCTTCATTTCCTTCTCTATGTAACTGAGGGAAGGCAGAGCAGAATGCTGAAGGATGTGTACAAGAAAAGCTGAGACCTGCTCTGCCTACATCCAGCACAAACATCAATGTGTAGGAAGACACATCTCCTGTCTTAGCTGTTGAAGACTATTATGTCTTCTTCTTCTTCTTCTTCTTCTTCTTCTTTCTCCTTTACATTTGATTTAATTTGGATCAGAGATTGCATGTTCCAAATCTAATCAGAAACAAGAGTTAAAAAAGAAAGACTACACCCCTATATATTTGGATAACATGACCTATTGTCATCTCTAGTTGTGAACTATATATAGTCCATGAAATTATATTCTTAGAGCACCTAACAAGGCCACAAAGTCAAACAAAAAAAAAAGAAAGTATGTGATTGTCTTGATTCTAAATTATGCTTAGTTAATTTTGTCAAAAGTAGTTTCTATAACCTCATGCAATCTCTTGGAAACTGCATAAAAATATGATGGATGACAAAAACAAGTCTCCCTTAATGAAAGTTCTAATGATGGATCCTCTTTCAATCTACCATGAGAGCTACTATTTGGACCAATAATTCACTAAAGATACTAAACAGTATTCATCAATGGATCAAAGCTACTATTTGGACCAATCCAATATTGTAGCCATAAATCCCAAATAAATGTACAATGCAATGCCAAATTGGCGAAATATAAGCATTCGCAACGAATGGAGCCACGACAAGAAGAAGACGTGGCTGGCAAACAGAAAGCGTGTGGCTCCGTCGCCCAAGTCGTAGCTTGATTCGGCTACGGAACCAGCGCTCGTGCGGCGACCACGTCATCGCTAGAAAACGAGTTCGGTTCCTATGTGCTTCTGGAGAGATCGAGAGTGACTTGGAAGCGTCCCCAAAGGCCCGACTCGGTTCCCTCTCCGCCCCATCTCCTGTCGCTACATCCATGGCGTGCGAGTTCTCTCCGGTCCCGTAGATTGGGAAGGAGCCGAGTCGGAATCCTAACGTCGAGGCCAATTGCTGGCGTCTCTCGCAGTGGGACGCCCCAAGCTTGAGGGATTCTTCTACTGTTTGAAGGATTAGGGTTTGGAGACAGCACCGGCGACATGACGGGGTTTTGGCACGGGAAGTTGAAGCGGAAGGATCTGGAGGAGGTGTACGATGATTTCGCGGAGTTCTCGCTTTCGTCCCCCGCGCGAAAGATCAGGAGACTGGTAAGCGTGCGCTTCTTGGAACTCCTTCCCGGTGCCTTCTGTGTTCTGTTGATTTGATCGTGGCGGATCCGTTCGTATTTATGCTTAAAGTACTGTGGCTTTACGTGGGAATTTCTCTTTTAAGTGTTTGCGTTACTTTTTCACTGGAAAAAATCGATCTTTGCTGTCAGCAAAAGATGATTTTGTCCCCAAGCTGTTTGATGTGTGCTGCCTCTCCAAATAATGGCTTGGGCTTGTGGAGTTTCTTTCACTTAGATGAACTTCGATTTGTGGTTTTAGATCATTGATAATCATATAAGAGCGGCTGTCTTCATATAAAGCCATTTACTTTGCTCATATTTTCAGTATTTTCTTGGTTTAATCTACATATGTAAGTGTTAGTAGCGCTGTTTCTCTTATCTGTTAGCTTCTTTTTGCCGAAGGATGCCGAGCTGCCACCAATTATGGAAGAGGGTGAACCGACATCAACTTTGGTATATAATCAGCAATTGCCGCAAGGGAACATTAGTTCTAGTGATATGCAGATTTCAGGATCTGTAGTGAGTGAGGCTATGTCTGGATACCCTTTGGATAATGAGGAGAGAGCAATTGTGCTCTACAAACCTGTGGAGACACCACTAATCTTGTCCCCTGGTCCCGATAATGTTTCTCTAAGAGTCAGCTTGGACTTCATTGATGGAATCAGACGTAAGTTCTTGAAACCTTCCATTGCCCGCATTTTAGCATGCATTTATCTTATGGTTTGCAATGTACAATGTGTTGGCAATAATTAGGATTTCTTCAAGAGTCTCCTTCTGTTATTCTCATTTTGTTGATGCTAGTAATATCGAGAAAAGCTATCGATTTACTGTCCGCTCCAACTCAATAACAACAGAGAAAAACATTGGGAAAATTTATTCTTAGTCATGTGAAGTAGTAAAGTTCTCTACCGTAAGATTTTCTCATCTGTCCTTCTCAAAGAAGGAAAGCTTTTGATTGAAACTGCATGCCACCTTTGATTCTTTTCCCATTTGCTTACATTACTTAACCATCGTCGAACTATTGCAGATCACATTTTCAATCCAGGGAATCGAAGTTTTGACAAGAAGGATCAACATACAGGTGTTAGCAATAGCTGCTTAGCTGTGATTCCATGGGTGCCACCGCATGCAGCGACTGCCACCAATGGGTTTGGAGGATCTGAATCAGAAAGCAAGTTGTCCCAGGAGCCAATGGAGGCTGAGGAAACTGAAGTTGCATCCATGGAAGTTGAAGAAGTAACAGAGCAAGCAACTTCTTATGGACTAGACAGTGAAGGCTTTCAGCAGCGGCAACAGCACTGCCTGAACCCCCAGTATCTTCCCGGCGCATCCAGTCCTATAATGTGGTCATTGTGATAGGTTAGTGATCCCGATCATCTCCAGTGAAAGATGTGCCATGCTTTGTCTAATGAAAGGCCACAGATGCTGCATGTGTTTTGGCTTCTTTTGCATATCCTCATGTACGACTGATGATTTATTTCATCAGAGGAGTTGTAGTAGTATGGAGGATCAGGAATCATTGTCCTTGCTACATGTGTATATTTTTTCTGCTTTACAAAGAAAGTTTATTTTCTGGCCATTCTTCTATTCGTCATTATAGAAGAGCTGATTGTTCTGTGCTACAATATGCTGTTGTGACTCTAAAGCTTATTTTGTCAACTGTCATCATCTCCAACAGGGGCTTGTGATCAAATAAGTACCTTGCCTTATCGTGTTATGTACTTGAATGCCTTCAATGTTTGCATGTCACAGTATATACAATCAGGTAATATGTATTTCCAATCAATCATAGCTGCTCCTCAATGAGCAGATCCTATATTTTTAATTGCATTTAAGCTGTAGCAACCTCGATCAGGGGCTGCATCTGGTTCAACAGATATTGTGCCTTACAGGGTCAAATACTTACAACCATTGCTAACTGTTTTAACTGCTTCCTTGACCATCCCTGCTCAGGATGCATGCAGCTCTCTCTTCACTAGCAAGTAGTAAGTGCCTGTCTTGATGTCTCTTAGTACGGGTGATGTTATAACTTGGATCCTTTTTCTTCTTGCTGAGTGCATCTTGATGTTTCTCTATGCTGGACATGCTGTGGATACTAGCAGAATTAATTGTGGGTAAAAGGTAATTGTCTTTTAAACTTACGACATTGTCTCTGTTCTTTTGTTCTTTTCATCACAGTATATCAGTAAATAAGATGCTGAAACAAAATCTTCCCATCTCAATTCTATCCAGTATGTCTGTGTTACAACTTGATTATGTGGAATCAAATATTTTGGGTTGTCCAGAACCAAGCAATTCCTAACAGGAACATTATTCTTCAAGGATTTATTTCAGCACAAAGATGTTGCTGGTTTTAGTATCCACAGATTGCACAAGTCTCTGAATTCGCAAAGGCTGAACAAGTCATGAAGCATTTAGCAGAGCACACATTCCAGTTCTTGGTTAGAACATTGCTGACCGTTTTCATTGCAGGAAACTGAAAACAATGGCCGAGGAAATTTACAAGTATTATTGAGAAGCTATGATGATCCAACATATGGAAGAAAGCTAAATCTAGACAGCCAGAAGCGGAATGGTGTTAATCCATAGGGTAGTAAGTATTCAGCCAAGTGTTCTTGTGGTCATCATTTCTGCTTATCATCAGCTCGCTGAGGTCCATCGCCCCTGCAAACCAATCCTGCCGTGGGAGTTCCTCCGTGGCCGCCGCCGACATCGGCGTCTTCCCCTTGTCGTTCGCCACCGGTTTCTCCTCCTTGACTTTCTCCGCACTTTTTAATGCCGCATCTTCTATCCTCTCTCTCACCTTCTTCATGTTCATCTCAGTCATCCACGCCAGGGCCGTCACATCCTCGATGGCGACGTCGTGCAAGCTCCTTCCTGACAAGCACTGGTGCATCAGGAGCGCCGTCTCCAGCTCCCGGTTCTCCTTGTCCTGCTTCTGGAGCTGCTCCTGCAGCTTCCTGATCCGCTGGCGCATCAGGGCCTCCTGGTTCATCATCTTCTTGCTCTGCTCCGTCTCCGGCAGCCGTTTCAGCCTCGCAAGCACGCGCATGGCGTCCGGCACCGACGGCCACACGTCAGCATGCGGCTCGTCGGGCCCGTAGATGATCATGCACGCCTTGACGTCGCACAGCGTGCTCAGCTCGCTCACCTTCTTCATCAGACCCTTCTTCCTCTTCTTGAACGTGGCCTTTCTTGCGGTGTCGTTGACGATCCACTCCAGCTTCACCTTCTTCCTCGCCATAAGCCGTGGAGGTAGGCGCCTGTGACATTTTATACTGGTTCATTCAGCAGGCAAGCGAAGGTGAGAAAAAGATTCAGATGACGATTCTGATTTCATTTTATTCTGGTTTAAATGAGTTAAATATTCAGCATGAGATCTTGGCACATGATATCTGAATTAATTGGCCATTACTATGGGCAGGCAGAATTGGCAACAAATGTTAAAAGGAGTATCTTGCTCGATGAAATTACCAAAGAAATTACCATCATACTATAGCTTCACCAGAAAGCCATCCTATAGCTTCAGAGAAGAGAGAATAAAAAGGTTCTTCTGATTGAACCCCAAAACATTTCTCAAGGTAAAAACAAGATTTGGACCATTATTTTTATGACTCTTGGTAGGAAACCAGATTAGCATAAGACCTAAATGCTTCAAGGAAAAAGCATACAACTTGCAGTAGATTTCAAAGTATACTTTGCTGAATCTATGTTTTATTTGGTTGCTGAAGGAAGGAAGGAAGGATCATTTGAGTTTGTGACTGAGATGAAAGAGGATTACTTAAGCATCTTTTCTCATGTTAATTTAACCCTCTTGGGCAGGTATGACAAGGCTGATCGAACAGTATCCTAAACGAAGGCTTCCTGTTTTAACAGACTAAGCTGGGGAAGAGATTGCCTGATGGAACTTGGAAGTTTCAGCTGTTGTTCCAGTCAAAAGGCCATCTTTTTTTCTCTCCTTCAATCAAGGACAAGATTTATCTGTGTAACTATGCCGCATCGTCTCACCTTTGTTCCTGTCTCCTGGATTCCTCTGCTGCTGTTTGGTTGCTGGTATGGAAACTGAGCTGGATAAATATTATGATCGATCTCTTGAACATTAGAATATTAAAGCCATGACAAGACATCCAGAGAGCATGATTTGAGGCTCAGATGAGATTCTGGGCATGTCAGCAGGAAACTGGTCACCATTTCCAGCAATCCAGCTCTGTAATATCTTATAATTGTTCTTTCTGGAAAACACCTGATGATTGCTACTTACTGTTGCTTCCCTCTCTTACTAAGTTTGCACATTATAATGTTTTTTATCTGACCTGATTGTCCAGAAAACACTGCTGCATCTCTCTGAGAGTCATGCATCTTCTTCCTCTGTTTCTACTGGTAAGAAGCTAATTCTATCAGTTACTCATTCCTCTTAAATTGTCTTGTTTTGGGCTAATATTTTTTTGATTCTTTATTTTGAAGCATATTTTCTTCTTTTTTTTTCCTTATTTGATACTTAATATACTCTCCTTTGCAATTTGGAAGAAAAATAAAATTATTTAAATTTCTCATAATACCATAAGAATTCGATGCTTTTTTATTTGCATCCATACTTATCATTATTAGCTAAAATAAATCAAATTATGCAATGATGAAATTATTTTCGGCGTAAATGGAGTTGACCAAACTCAAATTATATTTATCGGGTTATTGGATCGGATCATTTTACACAGGAGGCGATCACAACATAAAGAACTCGACCCGTATCCAACTCAGCTCCGACAGCGTCGGATCAAATTCTACTGGTTCTCATTTACCCACATTCTTTGCCCACTCCTTTATGACGTACCCGTCTTTTGAGTGGCTGAAGCGATGGCCAAATGTGGGGCCCGATTTGTGCCCATCTATATCTCCAATCATTGGGCAGGTAGATCGAATGGTACGTAAAACGTTTCGTGAGGACTGGACACGGAACACCGGAGAAGCCGATGCAAAACCATCAAAACCGCCTTTGGAATCCGAAGCTTCCCATCCGACAGAAAACGTCGCCATTTCGCCTTTTGCGACCGGGCGTCTCCGCGAGAGAAATCGCCCCCAATCTTTTCTCTCCCTTCGGATCCGTGGGTCAGCTGGACCGCCGCCCGGTTTCTCAGCCCCAGCTCACCGTAGATTCGTCCGCCGCTATTAATCCCGTGGGCGATCAGCTGAGGTGACTACGATTTATACGAATACCTGCTGATTCTTTGATTCTAAAGCTGGAATTTTGTGTGGAAATTAGTGGATAGTTTCTTTATTTGTGTTGTTTAGTTTCTATCTTGGAAGAATGCCACTTTTTTTGGGAATATTCCTGTCGGATCTAATTGGGAGCCGAAAGCTTACCTTTATTGTCAATCGAATGACTTAGTTATTCAAAAATTCTCCCTTTTAGCTGAACTTGAAGCTTCCTTGACATTTAGGGAAGCCAAAGGTGGGTAACTTTCATATTTTTTGGTGTGTCCTATGTTCATTACTTTGCTGTCAAGTTTTAGTGGAATTCCTAAAAATGATGCTTAGGATACTGATAAAGTTTGAGACTTCTGGTTTGAACTCAGTGAGCCCATGAAATTCGTATTACGAGAATTCAAGAGATCAAGTAGGTACCACGGATTAGGAAAATAATTAGGGGGATTCTGCATTTTATCATGCGCTTGACAGTGTCCTAATCTTTTGGACAAAGTTGAACCGATGACGACATTGCCTGGATTTTAGCAATCGATTTAAGTGATGGTTCTTGAATAAAGAAAAAAGACCATATTTGTCTTCTTCATGCGCATTTGTTAAGTCCTGTAATGGACTTCAATTACAGTAAAATCTAGATAAAATTCCAGTATACCAGGAAAGTGTGAGATTGTAAAGAATATGAGACAGATGCTTGCTAAGGCTACCTAAGACGATTATATTTTCCCAGACCTAAAAATCTAGATAAGTTTTCTGCTTCTTTATATTTTCCCAAACCATGTGTTCTCAATCAAACAATTGTGTTTTGCGCTTCCTTATATTTTCCCAAAGCATCCTACTCTGAGTCAAACAATTGTTGAATTAGGTGTACTACCATATTCTAGACCACTTCATTTGTCAGAGCCATAATTTTCTGAAAGTACCAATTTTCTGGACCTCTTCATTAGGTCTCTGTGATCTTTAATCAGTATTATTGTACTGCAGGTTATTCAGGTGTCAACTAAAATGCAGTCATACACAGAAGATGCTCCCCTCATTCATAGCTCCCCTAGAACTTCAAAAAAAAGTAGGAAAAGGTCATTTGATGTTTCTGATCGTGATGCAAAGGATGATGGCAAGCAATCTACTGAAAATATTTCAAATCATTTGGTGCTTTATGACCCTGGTACAAGCGATACAGGTCATGATTCTCTTGCACTTACTGATGTCATGGAGAATCATACTCCAACCTTCAGAAACTTCTTGTCATCAAATTATTCTGGCCGTACTTTTCCATCTATTGGAACATTCACCGTCCAGTGTGCTTCATGCTTCAAATGGAGGATCATTCCAACAAAAGAGAAATATGAACAAATACGTGAAAACATCTTGGAAGATCCTTTTGTATGTGAACATGCTCGTGAGTGGCGTCCTGATATTTTATGTGAAGACCCCGAAGACATCTCTCAGGATGGCAGTAGACTCTGGGCAATTGATAAACCAAACATTGCTCAACCACCTCCTGGGTGGGAAAGATTGCTTAGAATCAGAGCTGAAGGAGGCACAAAATTTGCAGATGTGTATGTTTTTTATTTCTCTGCTTTTGGCCTTTTTTTATTCCCCCAAGTAAACTGCTCAGAAATGAAAATGATTGTTTATTTGTTTTGAACCAGCTAGTTTGTGGAACTTCTTGCTCAACATTCTAAATAGATATTCAGATCTAATACTGATCAAGTAGCAACTATAGGTTAGTTTAAAGAATTAAGGAACATGAGATATAGGTGATGACTAATACTATTTTTCTTGCATAATTTTTTCACATTTATTTCTAGAGAGGTTTTTCTTTTATTAGTTACATCCAGTTTAGTGTTCTTCCCTAGTTAGGACTCTTGCACTTGATTTAATCACTTTTTGCTTATGAGGTGTTTATTTCTTCATGTTAATGGCTTCATCTTACCTGGGGTTATCTTAACATGCCTTGACGGGATTATCTCTTTTTGTTTTTTCCATGCGGAAATCAAATAAGAAGGCAACCCAAATGATATAGAGAGAATTATCACAATGAGGTATTCTCCCTCATTATTTGAGTGATCATATGCATGTTGTTTCAAATTCATATTTTGGAAAAATCATAAAATAACTAGAAATCTGGTTTTAGAAACATAAGTGTCTGTTAGTAGGAATTTGCGGGAAGTTTTTCCAATGGAAGTCAATCACATAAGTTTTGCTTTTTCCTATTGTAGCAGTTGATCAGAGAGGATTAAACTGGACCTTAAGTGCATAACCCACAAAGCAAGACTATATTCTGTTTTAAACATTCAGGCATAAATTTATGCTGTTTATTCTTTGGATAATTAACAAGATCTTGAGAGACCTTGTAAGGTTATCAAGGAAGTTCAGAAATACCATGATAGCCATAGTGAACCTCCTCTTTGATGATATGGGATCCTTTATCATGTTGTGAAGTGTTGGAATTGATGATAACTTGAGCAGAAGTTCACCAATGATCTTGCCTTGAAAGTTCCAAGATATATGCTAACTCCTTTCTTACATCAAATAATCTTTCCTCGAAAGTCCCATAATCAGTTTGGCTGTTGCAATCTAGTTTTCCAATTTGGTGGAAGTACATTAGCATTTAGAAAGAAGAGTTCAACCTATGTGATGTCAACTTCTCGAAAATCTCTTTTTCATAGTCCTCTTTTGCATTTCATGTTTTTTCATTTTCATTATATATCTGTATCTAACAATTTTAAAACCAAAATTGCTCATGCATTCTTGATTTTCTGCTTCAGATATAGACATCCAGGTTATGTATTTGAACAAATTTAAGGTGCCACATTGTTGATGTCAATCATTTTCCTTTTCAGGTATTATACTGCTCCATCTGGGAAAAGATTGCGGTCGATGGTTGAGATTCAAAGGTACGGTCTATGTTCTTTTTTCACATTCTTCTTTCACTGAGTGTACGTGCATGCAAATGCTCGAGGTTTACCAGAAGATTACTGTGGAAAACTTGCCTCAAACACTTAGTATTGTGCTTTCTGATATGGAAGAAAGTTACATTTGTTGTTTCATGTTTGATTGGTGTATTGGATTTTAAAATTACTTTTGTCAAGGAATCTTGCAGGTATTTGCTCGAACACCCAGAGTATGCCAGACAGGGGGTAACTCTTTCTAAGTTTTCATTTCAGTCTCCTAGGTCTCTGCAAGAGAACTATGTCAGGAAACGCCCTCCACGTGTGACAAACCCTTGTGATGGTGATATGATACTGCCAAGGACTCTTGAACCTGAAGAAGGTGTGTGAAAATAGTGGAACTTAATTTTAGAACTACCTTGGAAGCTACCTTCTGTGATGATTTAATATGCAAATCCTCTATGATGGCCTTTTTTAAAATTAGTTAGTTGACTATTTGTTGGCTTGTATTATCCAAGTGGAAAACTACAGTATCTGCCACAAGAGGGTTGCCTTCGACCAGCTCAGTGTGGCACTGATTGAAACTTCAAGTTGCGCTTTAGTGAATTAGCTGATAAAATTCATATGGATATTAAACCTAGAATATTCTAAGTATCTCTACATTTTCATCTCCAAACACACTGGATATTAAAAAAAAAAATTGATCCTATCGGTTCTATGCTGCACCTGTAGTTAGATATTAATCAAGTTCAAGATACTTTTGGCTCCTCACCTCTGGCGGGAAAATGCAGGTGTAAAAAACATAGTAACAGGATTATGAGAAAAGGATATAAACCTATGGAGGAGTTCTAACAAAAAACATCAACCCGAGAATTGTGACTAGCAGTACTAATATCTTGATGAAATGAAAGAAAAGCTTGCTTTTTTGCTTCTAGCTAAATTCCTAAGCCTGTGGGGCAAAAAATGAAGTTTCTTCATTATTTATCTTGATGTTACTTTCCTGTTTATCAAGTATTAATTTCTTTCAAAATGTTTTGTGGTAACGATTCTACTATAAGAGTTCTTAAGAGTAAAAGGGCGTACCCGGTGCATGAGGCTCCTGCCAATGCGGGGCTTGGAGAGGGTCAATGTATGAAGTCTTACCTTTAAATTTTTAGAAATGTTATTTTCATGACTCAAACCCTGGTCTCCTAGGTCGCAAAGGAACAACCTTATCGTTGTACCAAGACTCGCCCTCTAGGTTATCATGCTTCACAGATCTGTTCCTTGCTGCAGTGAATCCCCTATCTTGGGCAGCTCCTCTTAAAGAGCTTTTAATTGGTGGACAAGCCTCATCAAGTCCTTCTGAGAAAGATCCAGTGTATTCTCCTCAAAAGGAACCAACACCGGCTGGCGCTATGTCTTCATCAGAACAAGTGTGTGGAGGTTCCGCCTGTGATCAGCCAAAGATGAAGCTAGAAGATGCTGATCATTCAAGAAATGCATCTTCTTTTGAGTTGTGATACTTCGTTCTAATTGTTATTCTGATTTCTTTCTCGGTTCAATGTTAAGGGGAATGAAGAAGCACATTACATGACAATACACAGATGCAGCACAAGGTTTTGGGAACAAATACCAACATCAACATGTATTATGATATATGAACATATTAAGATTAGATCACATGACAGTCTTGAACAATTATCCTGGTGATGAGTGATGTTTCCCAGAAAAAAGATGTTAAATTTGTAACCTTATATGGGTTGTGAATGTTTCTTCATGATCTTTGTAAGTTTTAGTAGACAAAGAGGTTTATGTATCATGAATTTTAATATAGCTATTTACAAAATGTGAAATTAGTATATATGTGTTCTTTAATTGGATCACTTTTGAGTAGATAAGATTGATTTTCTTGTTTAGTTAATTCGATATCAAAATTATTACACATCCATCTTAGAGAATTTATTCTGATCAAAGATTGAATGTTTTAGCTAAAGATCTATTAAATCAATCTTTCTGTTTTCGTCATTTATCATTTATACAAACAGAAAAAGAGTAGCACTTATCATTTATAAAAAAATAAAAGTATTCTTATGAAACTTAAAAATTAAAACCAGTTATGAATTTTAAATATTAATTCTTTGTAAAAGAAATTAAGAATATCATATTTGTCCTATCAGTTATAATATAACATATATACATCCTCCAAGTATTAAATCCAATAAACATTACGCAATACAAACCAAGATTATTAGAAACTAATCGGAACTAAAATAATTAAATATATAAAATGACATAAAACTTTGAAAAAGTCTTATTCTAGTAAACCTTTTTGGTCAAACTGTTCTCAATTAATGGAGATTTACGAAATGGGCATATATTTTTTTATCTGTTATTAATTGACATACGAACAACTCCACTATCATTAAATTTCTCCAATTAAGAGCATAATAATTTAATAATTATCAAATAGGATTAATCAAATTATCAAAAAGTCTGAGTTTGCACTTTTCCGCGTCCCTCTTTTGCTTTATTGCCTTTTGGTTTTCTCCAAAAGCGTAAGGTTATTCATATGGATTCTTGAACGAAGAGATAGCTTGGATCGAGTGGTTGGCTTTCAAACCTTTGCTACATGATTATGGTCGACCCGAGATGGGACTGAGTTGTCTATCTGTGTCGTGTTCTCGCATGGCAAGTCGATGCTGGGAGGAGGGGTTCTCGACTCGTCCCCTCCGATACTTAAATTAGTAGATGATTTTATGGTGTAAAAGGTTCGATCATTTTCTCTAGGATGAGGGGCTAGCTTTTATACCTACAAAGTCGACTCGAAAGTGCGTGGGTCATTAATGCTTGTTGTTGTCCTCGTTCGACGTGACCATAAAAACGATTGACTTATATGTTCTCGATGACGCGAGTCAGCTCGTGTGGACTTCTACTGTGCGATGTCAACCCGTACAGTTCGAGTGGCGTAGGGGTCGATCATCCATCGTTTGCCAAGTCAACCTCTCTCCCCCCTTGGCCACGTGTCTGGTTGCTCCACATCAACTTTCGAGTGGTTGTCATGTGTCGCTTTCTGGTTGGCATGTAGATATTCCCAAAGATCTCACTTGGAGCAGCCCCAAGGCCAATCCTCGCTGCCATCCAAAAGGTGGCTCGGCCAACCCAAGCCCTCATTTCCAAGGCCTTCCCCTCTGCCCCTCAACACGTCCAGGATGGAGATCTTTCTCCAAATAAGGGAGAAAGGGTTTTGAAGGAGCCCATGATGATGAAACCATGCCCGAGTTCAAAGACTGAGTAAAGTACTGCAGGTTCTATCGTGACTATGGTCACAACACCGAAGAGTGTTGAGATATGAAATATCATATCCAAGAGCTCATTCGTAGAGGGCACCTCGGGCGATATCTTTGTAAACCCTAAGAGCCCTCCCCTCGCCCTCATGGCCCCATTAAAAAGCATATAAACGTGATTATTGATAAGCCGGGCTTCGAGGGAGATAGTATATCCGGATGGAGGGCCTACGCGTGAGCCTTGGTGGAGAAATGCCTATTGCAGGAAGATGGCACTAAGATCACTTTCGAGGCGGGGGAAGCCAAGTACCCCAACAACGATGATGCTTTGGTGATCTCGATTAAAATGGCCAATGCTCAGGTAAAAAGAGTAATGGTGGGCACTGGGACCTCTGTCGACATGCTATACATTGATGCTTTCCAGAGACTCAGATTGATTTAGAAGGATCTATCTCATATGACCTCGACCTGTATCGGGTTCACGAGGGATTCCATCTCCTCTCTTGGAACTATTGGAAAATTTGGGGTAGCATCACATGTGCAGCAGTAGAATAAAAAATAAAATCCCAAAATTTCTCACAGGGAAAGAAGGTTTCATCATCATGCGAAGATTGGTGCGTAAAAAGCATAAAATCGAAAAACTACGTGTATATGAAAGATATATTACTTAGGGAAGTCGTATATCCTTGAAAACATATAGATCTATGGGAGGGGATGAAAAATGTCAACTGTCCTCCCCTCTAGTGGTGATCCATATGGAAGGGGCTATGAAGATGCTCCTTAAATCTCTTCGATGCATGTATCATGCGATCAAGAAAATGCCAACCATTCTTGGTATCTACATGCCTCAAATAAGAGATGTTGGTTAAGGAAAAGAGGGAGAGAGGAGAATAGGAGATGACAACTAAAAGAGATCTAGCCTATCACCCTTTGGTTCCCTCATATTTATAAAGCCCCTTGTCAACTTAACCTTAATGGATCATACTCTATTGGGTATTGGATCTTCATCTAACTACCCAAGCCTCTTAGATTAGTGGGTCTTTACCCAATAATCTCTCATTGGCTCTTATTGAATTTCATGCATAGGATCCAATAATTCAAGGGCTTATTTGATATATAGTAAGATATGAGCTCTAATATCTCATATCTGAATATTTACTCGTCACAATACCTACCATATGTATGTGATCCCCTAGGCCTAATATCGAGCTGGCCGTGAGTCATACCTATTATAACTCAATTTGGCTTGGTGAATTATTATCTTCATAATAATTTACTTAACTTATCGACTACGAACGTACCATGTCACTATGCAGTAATCCCCAAACGATACAAGGTAATCCAATCTATTGGACTTATCTGTTCTAAGTTACCATGTATTTATAGTCTATCATCTATTTAATATCCTAGAAATAGTATTCCAGGCATAGTGATGTTAGGCTTATACGGTTTCTACTTGAGCCTCGCTCTAATCGGATTCTTTCGAATAACTATTTCGCTCTCAATTTGAATGACTCTGGCTAGGGATTTGCCTGAGTAAGAACACATGAGATATTTCTCTTATGACACAAAAAGAGAATGATCCTCTATTGATACTCAATAGCCCTCGTAAGATTGGCTGCCACTCCCGATGACCAAACGTGCTAGATCTAGAACTTCTAGGCCTATAAGTCCAGTATCAAAGAGTGACGTACTCATACAAGACTTCCTTGGTATCTCAAGTCTAAGGATCATATATATTAGTGGGATGACGGAATCACTATCTAACAATGAGATATCATCAACCATTCAATATTCTGTGAGCGGATTAATCAATGAACTTATTCTCCAATGAGCATCGGTGGTGTCCCTAGTGTCCCCACACGAGTAGCTATGAGACTAGTCACCTCCATCATATGGATGTATATACAGCGTATAAGTTTATCCGGTCATCTTGATGTCCCTCTCGAGTGACTTATGACCAGGATTATTTAAGGTCTGTGTTTAAAGGCGAATCGATCTCATTATCATGATCTCATCACGATCTGATTCATATTGCACAGATCCATAGACATCACTAATAGGTAATATAAAGTGAGAAAAAATCAAATAAATAATAAGCAAAAATAGTACGTATCATGTCACACATGTCATCACTTATGTGAGTGACTTGTAGGATACTTATGACTAGCAATGCTCCCTTGAGTTGAAGCCACCATCATAAGCCTCCAATATCATGAGGCGGAAGTTGGATGGAACAGGCATGTCCCGAATCTCCTGAGTGAAAGGGGATTTGGCCGAGGTGGTTTCTTTGAGTTCTCCTTTGGACTTATGAAATTCCTCTTGGACCTTATCTATGTGTCGATTCACCAAATATAGTTGGGCCCGGAATAAGTCATCCACCGAGTCTGACGATAAGATATCTACCTCAGGGAAAGTCGAGGTGGTGCGATAGGGTGGAGGGGCACTGCACTCTGCCACTAGAGGTCTCAGGTCCCTCAGCTATTCCCCAATAGGTGAGGAGGTGTTCGGGAGCGATGATGGCTAGTTGATCGAGGTGGCACCAAGGGGTGGGGGAGTGAGCTTGGGTTGGTTCGCTAGTCATGATGGTAGAGAAAAGGATGCCTACTAGGCTAGCTAGTGTATGAGAGGCATGATGGCCTGCATCATTCTTGTGAGGGTTTGGACTTAGTGACTAAGGTTGAGGAACGTCTCGACGAGGATGACCAACTGCCCTACACCGACCTTAAGGGGCGAGAGTCCAAGGTCATAAAAAAGGCACTAGTAGCATCCAAGAGTCTAGGCTAAGTGGATCCATCCATCTAGGGGAGGCAGGAAGCTGTTCTCCCTGCCCGAAGGCTCTACGAGTGGGCAAAGCCTTCTTGGGGTGCTCATTGAGGTTGTTTGTTAGTGGACATTCTTGTGATATCGGGTCCTCCTTCTAGCACCAAAAATGTTAAGTGCCTTTATATCGTGGCTTGGGGATCGATACAGCTTGGTTCTCTCACAAAAGCGTAAGGTCGTCCATGTGGATTCTCGGGCAAGGAGATCGGAGGAATAAGGCTAGGTTGGGGGGTTGGCTTTTGAGCCTCTGTTGCATCTTTATGGCTGACCCAAGGTGGGACTATGAGTCGTCTTGCTTGTGTCGCATTCCTGCATGATAGGTCGATGTCGAGAGGGAAGGAATTCCCAACTTGACCCCTCCAATGCTTAAGTTAGCAAATAGTTTTGTGGTGTAAAAGGTTCGATCCTATTCTCTAGAATGGGGGGGCTAGCTTTTATACTTGTAGAGTCGACCCAAAAGTGTGCGGGTCGTTAATACTCATCGTTATCCTTGTTCGACGTGACCATACAAACGATTAACCTATACATTCTTAACAGTGTAAGTTTGCTCATGCACACTTACAATGTGCAGTGTTAACCTGTACAATCCAAGCAATGCAGGGGTCGATTATCCGCCATCTGCCATGTTAGCCTCTCTCTCCCTTGGTCACGCATCGAATCGCTCCACATCAACTTTCGAGTGGTTGCCATGTGTCGCTTTTCGATTGACGTGGAGACATTCCTTATCAGCTTCCATCTCATTGATCATCGCC